AAGAAAAGAACAACTTTTATTTTGCAGTAACTACTAAATGTCAGTATTAGGACTAAAATCCAGAACTCATGATTTTAACCTATATAAACATATTTTTTATTGAGGTAATATCGGTTTATAATGTTTAAATGCTTTACTGATATAATTTCACACTTCTTCAGGTGTATGTTACCAAACTATACCTACCACCAAGGCACTTGAAGTCCTCCATTATTTGACTGCTTCCCCCCCCTTTGCTCTCCATGTTCCCACTTTTCCTCTGGTAACCTCAATTTTTTAGGATTTGCTTTTGGTTTAGAATTTTACTGACTCAGTTTTGTTTCTCTGTATTCACATATGAGCTAAAAATCTGCTATTTCTCTTTCTCTTCTTACTTATTTTACTTAGAATAATCCCCTCTACTTCTACCCATGTTATTGCAGATGACAAGATTTCCTCATTTTTACAGCTAAGTAGTATTCCATGGTAAATATTCATACCACATTTCTCTGTTCTACTCCTCTGCCCTTGCACCCTTAAGCTATTTCCTTGACTTAGCCAATGTCAATAGGGTTGCAATGTACATAGACGTACATAATCCCGTTAAATTAGTGCTTTTTGTATTTTTTTGGTTATGTACCTAGAAGTGGAAGTGTGGGACCATATGGCAGATCCATTTTTAACATTTTGAGAAATCTCCATAGAATTTTTCATGGGGGCTGGATCAGTCTATATCCTCACCAACAGTGTACAAGTGTTCTTTTTCTCCACATCTTCAACAACATTTGTGACAACAAGGTTGGAAACTAGAAAGGATAATACCAAGCAAAATAAGTCAGAAGGGGAAAACAAATACTGGATGGTCTTACAAACTTGTGGAATATAGAGAAACATTACAAGTGGTGAGTCAATAATAAACTCTTAACATTGCATTGCAAAGCTGAGGCAACCAGAGGGGGAGGTTGATGGGATGAGAGTAGGGGAAGAGAAGGAACATGATAGAGGATTTGGGGGGCACTAGTAGTGAGCAGGGTGTGAAAGTATACATTTGTCGAGGTTTGAACCTATAACCCATGGAGCAGACACAAAGATGTAAAGCTGCTTTACCACAATAAACATAATCATTTACCTGATTTCTAATTTGGGGGGGAAAAGTAGTGAGATTTTTTTATAGTAACACATTGTAAAATTCATTGAAATTTACAACATACAAATTAACAGTCAATTTGTATTAAAGACTTTCTCTGTATTTCTTAAATTTCCATATTGAAAGATGAATAAAAGGATGACACAAGAATGACTCACAAAGTAGCACCATTCTACCTTCCAATAAATTATTTTCATAGGTTTTCAAAATACTAGCATCAAAATCCTTGAGATAATCACTCCAAGTGTACCCCAATCATTACAAATGTTAATGAGGAAAGATCAAAAGACCTGTATATCTAATAAGGATGGCAGGATTTGGTTAGATCAATAGCTACTAAAAAGTATCTTTTCTCTACTTCTGTCTGTGCTTACTTGATTCAATATTAGGATTAGTTCTAAACAATTTACAGAGGGTCATCATTTCAAAAAATCAATGTTAAAGAACAAGTTAGAAATGTTTTCATCTGAAGTACAGATTCAAGGGAGAATTCTCATAGGACGCAGTTAAAACTGAAGCTTATATTTGATGCAAGTTCACATGACTTTCCCCATGAGACAGCACCAGCTATATGGTCATATGCCATGAAAAGTTTAAAAGGACATAACTTTAATATGGTTAGAAATGTTTTATGCCAGAAACTGCACAATCAGGAGTTCCTGAAAAGAAATAGCTTTAACAATTGTTCCATAATTTGGGGGAAAAAAATTCCAAAAAAATAAAGTAAAAAGTGTTTATTTCTTTTAAGTTTAGAAGGTGAGAATACCTGAAAAGTAACACTGAAAATTGCTCAGTGTTCTCAGTTTTACAGGACAGATACAGATGCAAAACTCCCTCCTATGAACTACTAGATCCAAATCAAAGAGATTTTGATATTCAAGTGATTGTGGATGTTACAATCTGGCTAATGTGGTCAAAGATACCCAAATTACCTGTGACCATGTAGCAAATATTTGTGTTCATTTGCATACTAGATCTCAATGTAAAATCATTGTTGTTTCACGAGTTATTCCAGCAGAGTAAATGGAAGAATATTGGAACATTCTCAGCATATTTACGTTTAGCTGATTTTATTTTATAATTTCCATTTCTGTGCATGATCTATAATGTTCATAACATAACAATATAGTTTATGTATATGTATACTCAGTGACAAACAGAGGTGTTAGGTAATAATTGTTTGTAGATTAAATTGTCAAAAATGTTACGATACCAGGGATTTAGAAATAAAATGTGAAGCTTTCCCTAGTGTGTACAACGTTTGGGAATTCTAAAAGGCGGTACAGAGTTGAACAAAGAAGTAAGAGAATCCT